GMSCTGGTGATGCCAAGGGTCTGTGCCAGGGCTGAGTGTGGAATTCTGGGCTGGGGGGGCACAGCCCCGTTCCGGGCACGAGGCCGCCCCATCCCTTCCTCAGCCTCATTAATTAAACCCAAGCGCTTAATTACAACCTGCTAAGTCCCACGACTGCTTCCCGGAGCCTGGTGACACCGTGGGGCCCATYCCGACCCCCCTCATCCCTGTAGGGAAGGTGGGATGCAGGGAATGGGGGGGATCATCCCATTAATTGTAGGATTTGGGTTGTGGTTCATCGGCGGCATTAAGGGATCTTCACACAGCGCTCAGGGAGGAGCAAACCCAACCAGTGGAGCCATCCCTGGGGATTTTGGGCTCTCCAAGGAGAGATGGRGACAGATGGCTCCGCTCTGGGGTTGTCCCCGAGCTGCTGGCAGGTCCCACAAGGGGTGAGGAGGTGCGGGGATGCTCAGCCCGATGCTTGGTGAGCTCCCGGCGGCAATAAAATAACGATCAAAATGATCAAATATTGTGAAGGCTGGTGGCAGCATGAGATGGGGGAGCTGCAGTGTCCTCACCCGGTGYCCGGCGGGGCTCCCTGACCCTCTGGCCCTTCTGCCCTCAGGTCCCCGCCGGCCCATGAAGTGACCCGGGCGGGTGGCACAGCCCCTGCTCCTGCCGTAGCCACCGCTGCCACACCAGGCACTGAGGTAAGGACCGAGGGCACGGCCGTGGGGTGGCTGGGATGTTTTGTGGGGTCCCCGTCTGTGGGGCGCAATTCCCACTTGGGGTCTCCCCAGCCCTATCATCCATGGGAATGGCATGACCCCATGGCGGCCCCACATCCCTCGAGGTGTCAGGGTGGGGGATTTGGGGTGTTTCAAGGGTGGCAGCATGGTCAGGGGTGCACAACGCTCCCAGACCCTCATTCCCCTTCCCTGCCCACCTCTGGAATTGGCAGAAATGTTGGGAGAGCTGACAGGGTCGGGGTGGCACACGGGGGCTCGGGGGTGACCGGCCGGTGGCACCGGTGTTGTCTGCTCAGTTCTGTTTCTCTCGCCTCAGGTCTGCTGGCCATGGGCAACCTGATAAAGGTATTGGGCAAAGATTTAGAAAACTGTCCTCATTTTTTCCTGGATTTTGAAAGTAAGTCCCACGAGCAGGGCGGGCGTGGGGAGGGCACCGGGGCTGCCACTGCGGCTGCCACCGTCCAGAGGATGGGGACGTCCCCGAGCAGCCCCGTGTCCCCAGGAGCCTCAGGGCCCTGAATTCAATCTGCAAAGCGGGGCAGGGGAATGGGAGATGCCCCATCCCTCGAAGGGTGCGGGAGATGTCCTGGTTGAAGGGTGCGGGAGCAGCAGGAGCCGGCCCGGGAGCGCCTCAGGCACACGTTCTGTTGTCAGCTGCTGGCACCGGTGTGGCGTGTCCGGTGACACCGGCAGGACAGGGACAGCCCGGAGGCTGGGAGAGCAGGAGGGGGTGATCCCGTGCCACCTGGGAATGGTCCGTGCCACTTGGGAATGGTCCGTGCCAACTGGGAATGATTCCGTGCCACCTGGGAATGGTCCCGTGCCACCTGGGAATGGTCCGTGCCACCTGGGAATGGTCCGTGCCACCTAGGAATGATCCCGTGCCACCTGGGAATGATTCCGTGCCACTTGGGAATGATCCCGTGCCACCTGCACTGCTGGGAAAGTCAGAGCAGACGGCACCAGGGGATGGCGATCAGGGACAGCCTGAGCTTCCCGCGGATCGGGGCTAACGGGGACAGGAGGGGACAGCTCTGGGACCCCACCTCTGGGCCAGTGGGCACCGCGGCAGGATGCCAGACCGGGCACAGCCCCAGGGCTCGCCTTGCTGCCCCGATTCCTCCWGGGGAACAGAGAGAGGAGGGTGAAACAGAGCAGCGGCACCCGCTCGCCCCAGCCCCGGCCCCAGTTCCACTCCCAGCGGGGACGGGCCGTGCCCAGCTCCCCGCAGCGCCTCTGGCACCCAGGGCTGGGGTCACTCAGCCGCCCATTCTCACTGCGAGGGACCTTCCTGGCTGCTCCTGGCTGATTTGGGGCAGCGCAGCCTTTTCCACAGCGCCCAGCGCGGGTTCTGGGGGCTCCCCGGGACCCCCGACTCGGGGCCGGCTCTGCCCACAGGAGGGGGATGCCCGTGGCCAAGACTCCAGGGACTCCAGGGTCTTCCCGGCGGCTTCTCCTCCCTTCGCTCCTCCCTCTCCATCACCCCATCCGCCAGCGCTCATCACCATCGGGGGGGAAGAGGCTGCACCCGGGGCCCGGAGCAGCCGCGGGGCCGCCCCCGGAGCCCTCCCCGAGCCCCCGGGGAGCAGCGGGGGGAGGACGGGGCTCCGGCCACCGCCGCTGCCCGCAGCCCAGCACCTCTTCCCCGGGCTCCACCTCACCATCATGCTTTTTTCCTCTTGTTTCTTCTCTTGCAGGTTTCACATGGGGAACCTTCTAAAAGTGTTGACTTATAACGAACTTGACCAAGGCCCTAATTTTTTCCTTGACTTTGAAAGTGAGATGGGATTTTTATTTTCCGTTTTCGTTCCGTACTTATCCTGAGTTTTCCACACATCCACACCATTTTGAGTTCTTGTCCCCGTCGCCCATCGCATCGCGCCCATTTCCCCAGACGTCCTCCCCCACCTTTGCCATCCGGGGGTGTCCCCGGGGAGGGGGAGGGCTGTCGCTCCGCACCCTCTCCCCCGGGGCACTTGGCAGTGCCGAGGGCTGCTCGGGGACCCCTCGTGCTGAGCAGGACCCTCGGGGCACAGGGGCAGCCAGGACTCGCCCCCAGCCGCCCCCTCACTCCACGGCTTGACTCGAGCTCGGGCAAGGAGCCGGATCAGGGGGAGAATCCCTCCAGGAAGGGCTGCGGGCCGGCGGGAGAGCCGCGGTTCGGGGTGCTGGCACCCCGCTCTGGCTCTCTCCGCCCCGGGCCCCGCTCAGAGCCCTCCGGGTTTCTCTCCCCGGGGCGCTGCCCTGCAGATGCGCAGCCGACMGAGGCCGAGACGGCGGTGTGGAACCAGGTGAACGCCGTGCTGGAGGAGGCGCAGACCATCCTGGCCGAGCTGCAGTCCTACACGGGCGCCGGGCAGGAGATCCGAGAGGTGGGTGCAGCCCCGGAGACCCCCGCCCGCCCGCCCGCCGCGGCTCGGGGCAACCGCAGGCGCTCTCCCCCTGCCAGGCCATCCAAAACCCCGGGGATCTGCGGCTGCAGGAGCGCGCCTGGAGCGCCGTGTGCCCTCTGGTCGCCAAGCTGAAACGCTTCTACGAGTTCTCGCTGCGGCTGGGTGAGTGCCCGAGCTTCCCTGCATCACCCCCGGGCATCCCGCGTCCCTCCCCGCAGCCGGGAACGGGGCAGGCTGCGGGAATCCCGAACGCGGAGCGGGATGCTGCGCCGTGCCTCAGTTTCCCCGGGGGTCGGGGAGGTGTGGAGGGGGACCAGGAGTGTTTTGTCCGCAGAGAACGCCCTGCGCAGCCTGCTGGAGGCCCTCACCAGCCCGCCCTATGCCCCGACCCAGCACCTGGAGCGGGAGCAAGCCCTGGCCAAGCAGTTCGCTGAGATCCTGCATTTCACCCTCAGCTTCGACGAGCTCAAGGTGCTCCCCCCGATCGGGGACATCACCCCGGGGACCCTGAGGGGCTGTGACCTGGCACAGTCCCTCCCTAACCCCGCTGTCCCCCCAGATGACCAACCCCGCCATCCAGAACGATTTCAGCTACTACAGACGGACCATCAGCCGGAACCGCATCAACAACCTGCAGGTGAGGGGTCTCTGCTGTCCTTCTGGGGGGTCACTGGRGGCTCGGGGAGGGGATTTCAGCCACCCCAGTGACCCCCATGACACCCCCAGCTGGACGCCGAGAGCGAGGTGAACAACGAGATGGCCAACAGGATGTCCCTGTTCTACGCCGAGGCCACCCCCATGCTCAAAACGCTCAGCAATGCCACCACCAAGTTCGTGTCAGAGGTGAGCGAGGCTGGGGGGACCCTCGGGGCAGGGGGAGACCCCTCCGGCCACCACAGAGGGGTAAAAGAGCAGCCGGGACCTGCTGGSTTTCAGAACAAGACCCTCCCGATCGAGGACACGACCGACTGCCTGAGCACCATGGCGTGCGTGTGCAGGGTGATGCTGGAGACACCGTGAGTACCCCGCAGCGTTTTTGGGGGGATATCTCGGGGCTGGGGTCCCTCCTCTGTCACCCCCCAGGCTCAGCCAGCCTCTGTCCCGGCTCAGGGAGTACCGGAGCCGCTTCACCAACACCGAGACGCTGCTYTTCTGTATGAGGGTGATGGTGGGAGTCATCATCCTCTACGACCACGTGCACCCCGTGGGGGCTTTCGCCAAGACYTCCAAGATTGATGTGAGTGGGGGTCACAGCCGTCCCACCCTCCCCGGGGTCCCTCTCTCTGGGTTGTCCCCATGGGGATGTCCCTGAGATGGTTCAGGAGGGGCTCATCCCCCTGAGCAGCGAGGAGGAGGATGGGGAGGAAGGGGAGGAAGGGCACAGCCCCCCGTGAGATCTCACAACCCCTCTCTCTGCCCCATCAGATGAAAGGCTGCATCAAAGTGTTGAAAGAACAACCCTCAACCAGCACCGAGGGGCTCCTGAACGCTCTGAGGTGMGAGGAGCGGGGATTTGGGGACACGGCAAGGGCGGGGTGACCCCCGGCAGCGCCCGGCTGTGAGCCGTGTCCCCTCCCCGTGTCCCCAGGTACACCACCCGGCACCTCAACGACGACACCACGTCCAAACAGATCCGGGCGCTGCTGCAGTGAGCGCGGCGCGGCCCCGGAGCCGCTCGTCACCGTGTCACCGACGCCCATGACCATCCAGCTCATTTTGTACCGAGGGAAAAGGGACAGCGAGGAACGCACGGAAATACGGAAAGCGACCCCAAACCGGGCCGGCCCCTCCCCACGAGCTCCTGCACCCCCGGCCCGCCCCTAAATCAGCTCCGGGATGCGGGGTGCGGGTGGCACCGAGGGGACCGGGGTCGGGCAGGGGACACCCGGGCAGGGATGTGCTGGTGGGGCTGGCACAGAGTGCCCAAGGCACCCTGGGGACACCCTGGGGAGGGGGCGGGTGGCGCCCCGGTGCCCACCCTGGTCCCCAATCGGAGGAGGAAGAGGAGAGGAGGAGGAGGAGGAGAGGAGGAAGAAGTATCCCTGTGGATCTGCACTGACTCTGGAGGAAACGGCTCAGTCTCACCTGGTAGATTTTTAATATGAGCAATTAAATCCACACTCACCTCTTCTTTTCTACATTTTTTTGGGGGGGAGGGGGGATGTGAAATAAAATGACATTTAATCTGTTCGTGGCCGGAGCGGGGCCGTCTGTGCTGTGTCCCCATCCCACGCCAGGGACCGTGTCCCCTGCCCGTGGGACAAATGCCACCTCCTCAGTGTCAACCCCACGGTGACCAGGAGGGACAAGAGCGCAGGGTGTCGCCATGGTGGGGGGACACCCAGCCTTTCCAGGGTCTCCTCCTTCCCCAGTACCGCGGCGGCTGCAGACTGGGAGCACTGGGCGGCTGCTGGAGGCGGTGGCTTTGCCGGCAGATGGCCCTGTGACACCGCCACAGCGCAGCCACGCYGGCCCCACCCGCGCCACCGGCCCCGCTGACCCCTCCTGTGCCCCCCGGGGATGGAGGAGACCCCACCGGGGCGGGATCCCGGGTCAGCCCCCCTTGGCTGGGGCTGTGTCCCCCCCGAGGGAACCCTCAGGGCGCTCCCCCTGTGGCACAGGGCCGATCCCGCGGGGTTTGGTGACATGCCAGCCCCGCTTCCCGCCACCTTTCCCGCCTGTC